CTTTTTATGAATAGAGTATCAAGGGGTAAAAAACGAGACGCACTCTAACGCAGTACTTAAGTAAAACTATACAATACATACATAGTGAAACCTTTAATCTGAAGGATGAAAAAAGAAAATAAAGGTTTCTGAACATAAATTTCAGTTGTTTTATCTATCCAATGATTTAACAGTTACATATTGGTTTTTTCACGACTATACTTCGGTCCTCAGCTCAAAGTTTGTGAAACCACTGAACTCTAAGTCTCCATTGGAAACTTCGAAGTCAATCTAAAACCATCATACTTATGCACCAATCAACGGTGAATTGCTTGTATTACATTTCTACTCCTAGCGAATCTTTACACTTCTGATGATCTCAGTTTTCATATTTATGAACTCAATAGACAGTAATACATGTATATTTCAAGATGATCTATTGACTTTATTTGTCGACTAATAAAAAACTTTTATGACACCAGACACAAACGACAGTCGAAAAATTTTGTTTCTAGTCCATCATATTGTATAATGAGCGCATTTGTAGTAAATAGATGAACATGTTTTATTTTCTGTCGAATCTTAACTTGCAAAACTTAGCAAATAACATTAACCCTTTGACTCCAGGATTATTTTTATGTAGTAAAAAGGGCGGGGAATGGTTGATCGACAAATCAGTCTTATAAAAATTTTTTGATTCGAAACCCCAACTATGTTATACCAAAGGAAAGAGCTCGGCAAGTTGAGTATTTTTTGTGACAGAACTTGATCTTTTAAATAAAACTATGAAGAGTTCTGAGCATGATAACGACTAAAATGACTGAAATTTTACAAGTTAGCTTGCCCAGAATTCTTCATGATTTCATTTAAAAGACCAAATTGTGTCACAAAAAGTGCTCAATTCACCGAGCTCTTTCGTTTGATATAACATAGTGAGAGGTTTCGAATTAAAAAATTTTTATAAGGCCGATTTGTCGATCAACTGTCCCCTCTCCTTCTTACTATACAAAAATAATCTCGTACTCAAAGAATTAAGGGGCAATCAATAATCAACAGTAAGTATAGACAATCTTAACGCACAAATATCCTAAATACGAATCTCCATACAATTCATATCATTAAATAATAAATAGACCGCGTTTTTTAAAGTTATTCAAACTCCGAAATCTCAGGACGCGAATTTGCGTTGCCCGGACTCAAAGAATTAATGAGAAGTCTCAAATGAAGAGTTTTAAATTTTTTCCTTATACTACTTGTGTTATAAAGTGATTGTAAAAAAATCAAATTTTTTAGAAAAATCTTTGTCTGAATTCCGAAACATTTATATACAATTAGCGGGAATAAATTCATCTAGTGCCCAAGTTGTATTGCCTATATTATATATGTGTAATATCATAAAAATCAGCAATTAGATAAGATGATGGAAACAGTTTTCTCATTGATAAATAATCATTGAATTTATATTAATTATAAAACTCTGATTGTATAAAAACGAAAACAAACAAAATATCTATTATTTAGATATGTTACTTATTATAATGGCAGCAACATTAATTATTGGCATAACAATATGTTATTTACGAAGTATTACAATAGCTTTAATGATTATTACTGGAACTGCATTGTCATTAGGTGTAGGCTGTTTTGTATATAATATAATTTATCGTATACCAATATTTCCATTTTTGAATTTAATGTCTGCGTTTATATTAATTGGTATTGGTTGTGATGATATATTTGTATTTTTTGATATATGGAATCAAGAAAAATTAGAATGGTTAAGAAAATATCAAAATAAATTATTAACTGAAAGTAAATTTTATTTTTTATTTATTTTAATAAATTATTTATTTCATTAATGTAGATGCAAATATGTTAGATGTACCTTTAAATCAACAAAAAAATCCAAGCAAATTAAAAAGATCATCTTCTCATCATTTATTTTTATTTAAACATTCTAAAGAAATTCGTAAAGTATTATTAAGTGAAGAAGCATTAATAGAAATAATGTCTAATACATTAAAACATGCTGGTTCATCAATGTTTGTTACATCATTTACAACATCAGCTGCTTTTTTTACAAATATATTAACTAATATTTCATTTATTCAAGTATTTGGAATTTTTATTGGAACATGTGTTTTAATTTATTTTGCTATTACATTTACTGCAATTGCTGCTTTTGCTGTAAGTTGAATTATATTTAGAATATTTGACGAAACAAAAAAAGAACAATTATACACTATTGTTTTTTTTTCTTTGTTTTCATATTGAAGGTTATTTATGAAAAGTATATTCAAAATATGATATCTCATGTACTTTCAATGTGTTGTACTGATTTTGTTAATAAATCAGCAAATAGTGCACCAGCGAAATTATATCATCGTTTTTCATTAGCTTGTAGAAATTTTCGAAATTATATTTTTAGTCATTTTATGCCATTAATAATTATTAAATTACGTTATGTATTAGTATTAATTTTTCTTCTTATGGGTATTCTAGGTTAGATGATTTATTTTCTCAATTTTAAAATAGATTAAATATTGTTTTTATTAATGTGCATTATCTGTAGGTCTTATTGGTAGCTTTTACTATCCTAAATTAAAAGTACCATCAACACAAAAAACTGCTTTATTTTTAAAAGATAATCCAATGGAAATCTATGAATTTTCAATGAAAAATCAGTTTAATGGTTATTTAAAAGAAGATAAACGTTTATTTACTTATCCAGCTATTTCATTTGTATTTGGCATACGTGATATTGATGATGGTTATATATTTGATATGAATGATCGTGGTCGTTTACATTTAATGCCATTATATTTAAATCAACAAATCACACTTGAATTTTTTAAAAATTTTATTAAACATTTAGGAACACGAAAAGATTTATTTTTGTCAAATTATGATTTAGAAGAAGATTTTAAATTATTTTATGAGGTAAATTTATTCCTTTATGTATATGATTAATTAATAATTTATTTATTTTTTTCTTCTACAGCTTGCTACGGATGATATTTTAATAGCAAAAATTATTAATGATCGAGTTAAATTAAATGTATCAAAAACAAATCATTTGAATATGATTAAATATATAAGAAAAATAAATAAAAATTTAATAGATAATTTAATTTCTAATACAGTACGTACAATTGATTATAAAATTGAAAATGATCAATCTGATCATGATGGATATATTGAAAAAAAATTAGATCAAATAAATTTAACTTTATATAAAATAAGTAATAAACAATTAAAAAATCGTTTAAATCCAATTATTATTTATTCAAACTATCGAAAATCATTCAATAGAACATTAGAAAGAATTTATAAAGAACAGGTTAGTGTTTCTAATGATATTTTTTCTTTTATTTATTTAATGAATAATCATAGATTCAAAGTAATTATGATGTTAATGAAACTCGAATATCTATAAATAATACACTACGTGATGCATTGACAGACGAATATCAATGTTCAGCATTGAAAACAGCTATGCAATGTATAACAGGTACAGCTGGTGCTGATAATATACCAACAGATTTTTGTAATAGAATACTTACTAAACAACGATCATTTAATTGGGCTGTTTTACCTGATAAACCGTCATCAATCGATGGAAGTATTCGACCATTTGCCGTTTTGATTACTATTCGAGGTGAGAGAATTACCGTTATGGTCTCATTTAAAGTATCAATTTCTTATACTCTAACGATTAAATCGTATTTTTTTTGTTTAAGCAGAATACTGTAATTTTCTTTAGTAATACTCGACAAGTTGGTTTTCGAGATTTAACTTGAAGTTTTGCGTGCCATTCTCGATCTTATAATTTATAAGATAGTTCAATGAAGAGTATTCATTAAGATATCGTTCTCATTCGTACATTTGAATTATCTTTTGTAAAATATAGATGATCGATTTGAATACATTCAAAATATATTTCTTACCTATTTCAGGTGCTCATAATCGTACCGATTATAATTCATACAATAAATATTATATGAAAGTAAAAAATTTCTTTGATCCATATATAAAACAACATGCACCAGAACATCTGAAGCATGCTTGGTTTTCTTCATCAAATTTTGCATTTTATGGTGTTCAACGTGAATTACTTTCTGGCTCCTCTTCTTCTCTTCTTGTATCATTGGGTATTGCCTTAGTGGTATTGTTTCTTACATCAGGCAATTTATTTATTGCAATATATGCATTAATTACTATTACTTTTGCTATTGGTAAGCATCCTTTATTTTCCTATGACATATTCTTTAAATGAAGTGTTGTAAATTTGATCGACAGTAAAAAATATCGAAATAAAAAAGTGACAATGCAACAAAATTTGTTGAACTAACAGTAGCATCAAAACTTTCACTTTTATAAAATAATTATTGTTGTATTTATATAAACGTTTACGTATTTGAGAAAATTGTCTTTTGGTTTTAATTCACAGTTTAAGCATATTCGTAAAAGACTGAAGGATATTGATTTTTAAATTTTATACAATGTAGATCAATACTTTCTTATTATATTTTTAGAGGATTAGGT